TGGCGGCGGAGCGGGGGAGGGAGGCGGAGCTGGGGAGGGAGGCGGGGGCGGGGGAAGAGGAGGAACGGAGGAGGAGAGGGTGTAAGGGAGGGGTAAAATCGAGATTTTTGAAGAGGTTACATTGGAACTTGAGGAGAGGGGTCTGGACATAATTTTTTCAAAAAAAAGGGGTTGCAACACATTGTTGAAAGTTTGGGGGGCCGTGGCACATTGAAAGTTAGATTTTGAGGCATAGAAGCAAATTTTCATTGTTTTTTTATTAATGTTGATATATAGTTTTATGTGTTCTCAAACTGATGGTCTGTATCATGTAACTAATCTGCTTTGTCAAGTATAGATTTAATATGAATTTCTAATTGATATATAGTTCTATATGTTCTCAAACTAATGTTCTGCATCTTGTAGCTAATCTGCTTTGTCCAGTGTAGATTTAATATGAATTTCTCATCGCACTATGCATTTACTATGTGGCATAATATATGTAAAATATTACAAGTTGGAATCTTTTATATGCCTTTTAGATTAAAGTTCTGACATTTCTTATAGCATAACTAAATTCAATGCAATAACAAGCTTGATATCAGTATACAAAACGTTATCGGTCTTATCATCATCAAGTAGAGATTTAAAAAAAATAATATCATTTAGTACGATGTATTGTATAGTAACTATGCATGAACTATTAGACAAATGAGTTATAGGAAAAAAAACATAAAATAAAACAAAATAATCAAATTATCTGACCACGTGCATCAGATGTGCATCCCATCTAGTTCTTTAAATCATCCAAGCTTTTTCAGTGACCTTCAAAGACTTTCATATATATTTTTGGAGGGTTCATTTTTTTTTTCAATGAAAAAACAATCAAACGCTAATTACAAAGATTCTGTGCACGTCTGCAACCCCTAATGAAGTTAATAGAAAACAACCCTCAACCAACCCTTGAAAAGAACAGGGAAAAAGAAGGAGCACTCTTCTCTGTCGACTCAAAAGGTAAGTTAATATATGACAATTTGACAATTTTCATTCTCAAAACAAAGCGTACATAAAGAAAAATTGAGAATTGATTTTAAAGATCACTCATAGAAGTACACAGTTAAAAGAAAAGAAAAAGGAAAAGAAAACATTTGAGAACTGAGTAGAGACATATAAGCACAGAAAGGATCAAAGCTATGCCCGTGCAGCTTTTATGAAGGCCTCAGCGGATGGCGAATGCTCTTCAAATGGAGAGACCAAGTTAATTTGCAAACACATTAAGTTTTACTTGAGCTGTGACTTCGGGATGCAGCTTAAGCTCCGCAGTATACTCTCCAGTTTCACGGATTTCTGGAACAGAGACAATTCTCTTGTCGATATCCCTGCAAAGCAAATACGAAAAAGGGGGGGAAAAGGTGTGAGTCCAGTTGTACATTAGGTTCAGTTTCACTTAGATATGTCCAGAGAATACCTCTGTAGTTGTGCCTTAATTATGTCAACAAGATCTTGGGCAGTAACACTAGCAGAGGAAAGAACAGCGGCATATTAGATTAACAATGTCGAGAGAGAGAGAATAAAAACTTAGAATATTGTAGTAAAATAAAACTCTGCTGACTGCGCCTTCGATGTAAAATTACCTTCCAAATATTTGTTTTCCTTTCCCACCTTTCCGTTTCACCTTGAAAGCCCCTACCGTTTGGAAAATTCGAGCAAGTTGTTGTGCCTCTTCTTTTACCTGGAGAGGATAACAAGGCTTGTTTTAGAAAAATATTTGAGCAGAGGTAAAGTAGTGAACATACTCAACTTGATAAAGCATAACTTTGCTGGTCTCGGTGAAACAGAGACAAATAAAACGAAGGTCCCAATAAAAAAGAATAAGATCAAAAATCTCCACAAATTTATTCATACTTTCTTAGCTACGAAGACTCGTTCCAAAGGCATGACTGGTTGAGCCATCTGAACTTTAGATGGTTGACGTCCGAATAGTCCTTCAACATATTCTGATTATGGAATTCCAGGCTTTCAATAGTTTATCAACTTTCACTAAAATTATAATATTGTTGTCTCGAGTCCATTGCGTTAAGAAGTCGGCATCCCGCAATAAGAAGGAATCCTCATACTGGTTTATGGATATAAGGATGCTAGAATGATCGTTGGGATGTAATAAGATTATATAGTTAATGGAGCAAAGAGGAACGTAGACCTAAAAGAACTTGGTTGGAGCAATTAAGAAGGTATGATAAGAGTGAACTGGAGGGAATGACCCATAATAGCAATTGTGAACTCGTGGGATTAGGATTAGTGGGCCACTCCCACGTGAGTACTGCAAGCAGCACAAAGAAAACGCGTGAGCAGGTGAGGTGAACGCATGGGGGCCACGAGTTAGAAGCATAGCCGCGGGAGCACTTTTTTTTTCGTTTCAATCACGAGATGCAGGCCCACCCGATTCCGTAACTAAATATTTCTCTTCAGATTGGTTCTAGGGCTGTGTGCAAGCGAAGGAGTTTTTGGGCACGGAACTTTTGTTAGGCGGCTGCAGCAAAGAGGGCAGATGCCAGGAGATTTGTTTTGGCTGCGGGGATTCTTTGCGGCAAGAAGAAAAAATGCATGCTTTTGTGCATCCTTTTGTAGAGAGATATTGTGAGGGATTTGAGAGTTTGTTTGAGGGTTTAGGTTGTGAGTGATTGTAAACCCTAGTTGTATACTCTCCCTCTAATAGTAGATCTCCCCCCTCCTTGCCCCGTGGACATAGGCAATTTGCCGAACCACGTAAAATTAGTTGTATCGCTATTTGTGTGATTTGTAATAGTTTTTAGGTTCCCTCGACAGGTCAGTCCTAGAACTGCTAGAACTGATGAGAGGAAGAGCTGATATCTCACTTGGTTGAGATATTTTGCTTAAGGTTCCTGTTTCCTTTGTGAAACAGGATTTCCTATTGCGACCTGACTCTCTTGTTGTGCTGCCGAGGTGCTGCTGAAATTTTAGCGGCGCGCAACAAGTGGTATCAGAGCCAGGTTTCAGATCTAGGGTTTTGGCGTTTGGTGGAGGAAGAATTTATGTGAAGCTTGGTTCTTGGAGTTCTAGGCTTCAGTGGAGATAGCATTAGGAGTTGCCGTTGGAGATTTCGTTTTCCTCGTGTGGATAGGAAATCTATTTGGAATCCGATCTAGGGTACAGTTGGGTGGTTCCTAATTTTTATCAAATTTATTCTTTCTCTATAATTTTGGAGTTAGTTTGCAATGGGAGAAGAAGGTGAAAGCAGCAAGTCGATGGCGAGTACAATACAAGTAGGTTTTCAGAACACTAAGATTAGTGTGGTGAAGTATGACGGTAAAATCAACTTTGGTTTGTGGATGAGCGACGTACAGGATGAGCTCAATGCTCAGAATTTGAAAGAGACCATCATGGTCCACGAGAGGCCACCTAAATATGATTAGGCGATATGGGAGAAGATAAATAGGAACGCGTGTGGGGTGATCAGGTCCTGTTTGGAACAAGAACTGAAATATAATGTGATTGGGGTGACGTCTGCAATGAAGATGTGGGAAATTCTCAACAACAAGTATCTCACGAAGAATGTTGAGAACATGTTGCACTTGCTGCGAAGACTCTTCAGATTTCAGATGTCCAGAGGCACCTCACTAGCGGCGCATGTGAACAACTATACTAAGTTGTTGTCGGACTTGGCGAATGTTGATGAGAAGATATCGAATGAGTACAATGCTATTATCTTATTAGCCTCCTTACCGGATGAGGAGTATGATACATTCGTGCTCATTTTGTTGAACGGGGGATCTTCTATCAGCTATAGTGAAGTGACTAACGCATTGACCAATTACGATTTGAGGAGGAAGGACAAGGAAACTTCTCGTGCTAGCACTTCAGGAGAGGCCTTGTCGACGAGAGGTAGAAGTCCATATCCGAAAGGTGATAATAGAGGAAGATCAAAGTCTAGAGACCGCCACCAATTAGCAAAGAACCAATGTGCATTCTGCAAGAAGCAGGAACATTGGAAGAGAGATTGCCCGAAGCTCAAGGAGAAGGAGAATGACAAGGAGAAGGGCCTGAAGGCCAATGAGGTGAATATTGCGAAAAACGATGATTCCGATGATTCGAACTTTTCTTTACTGATTACTCCGGAGGTGAACCACTTGGATGCATCAGATTGGATGCTTGATTTCGGCGTTACCTATCATGTGACCCCTAGACGAGATTAGTTTGCATCTTTTGAGAAGCTCGATGGGGGAGTGTAGTCATGGGAAATGATCAATCCTGTGGCATTTGTGAGATAGGTACTGTGCGGATCCGGATGCACGATGAAGTAGTTCGTGAATTGAAGGAGGTGAGATTCGTTTCTCAGCTGAAGAAGAATCTTATCTCAGTCGGAGCTTTGGAGGCAAAGGGATTCAATGTGACTTTCAAAAACGCTGTAGCGAATGTTACTAAGGGATCATTGGTGGTGATGAAGGGAGTCCGCAATCGGAATTTGTATTATCTGAAGGGAAGCACCGAGATTGGCCAGATTGCTTTGGCTATTTCAGAAGCGGACATGAGTAGACTTTGGCACTATAGGTTGGGGCACACATGTGAAAAGTCACTGCAGGCATTGTGCAAGCAGGGGTTATTGAAGGGAGCCAAGAGTGGGAAGATTGAGTTCTGTGAGCACTGTGTTCTTGGCAAAAAGACGAAGGTGAAGTTCGGGACTGTCATTCTTCAGACGAGGGGCATCCTGGACTACGTGCACACAAATGTTTGGGGTCCCACCAAGACTGCATCACTTGGTAGTCGACATTGGTTCGTCACGTTCGTTGATGACTATTCTAGGCGTTGTTGGGTGTACACCATGACGAAGAAGAGTGAAGTCCTAGATATATTTGTGGAGTGGAAGAAAAGATTGAAACTACAGACTGGGAGAAAGATCAAGACGTTACGATCCGACAACGGCGAGGAGTACACATCAGACCCCTTTCTGCAGCTATGTCGAGACGAGGGTATAGAGAGACACTTCACGGTTAGTCATACACCGCAGCAGAATGGGGTGGCAGAGAGACTAAATCGGTCTTTACTGGAGAAGATCCGATGCTTATTATCGCAGAGTGGTTTGGAGAAGATCTTTTGGGCTGATACACTTACATATGCGAGCCACCTCATTAATAGGCTGCATTCATCTGCGATTGAGGGGAAAACCCCTATGGAGAAGTGGTCGGGAGAGCCAGCGCGAGATTATGACCAGCTCAAGGTATTCGGATGTCCTGTATTTTATCATGTGAGAACAGATAAATTGAAACCTCGAGCTAGGAATGTCATATTTGTAGGATTCAAACGTGGTGTCAAGGGATACAAACTTTGGAATCTAGTTGATAAGAAGATTGTGCTGAGTAGGGACGTCACATTCGATGAGGCTTTTATCTTGAAGCTTCTCAGCTCTCATCAGGTGGAGAGCGACCCGACGGAAGAGATATCGCAGGTGGTGGAGATCGATGCAGCTCCACATTATCCAAATGGTACAGTATCCATTAGAGTGCCGACTGAGGTGACATCAGGCGAGCACGACGGTAACATGGAGGATACGGGTACTAATATGCAGGATCAAGGACCGACGACTCAGGTTCAGGATTCGATTGCGGTTCGGAGACAGAGGTGAAACATACAGATTCCAACACGGTATGCCGACACAGTTACGTATGCACTTTCGGTGGAGAGTATCGATGAGATGGTACCTACTACATTCAAAAAGGCCGACCAGAGTTCGGAGACTGATTCGTGACAGGTGGCTATGCAAGAGAAGATGAAATCTCTTCATAAGAATGATACATGGGAGCTTGTTGAGCTTCCAAATGGACGGAAGACAATTGGTTGCAAGTAGGTATACACGAAGAAGGAGGGCATTGAGGGCACTCCATTAAGGTTCAAAGCTAGGTTGGTTGCGAAGGGCTATGCATAGGAGGAAGGTATTAACTATAATGAGGTTTTCTCTCCGGTGGTGAAGCATTATTCGATTCGGATTTTGCTAGCTTTGGTGACACAGTATGGTTTGGAGTTAGATCAGTTGGATGTGAAGACGACATTTCTTCATGGTGATCTTGATGAACAAATATATATGACTCAGCCATTGGGATTCCGAGCTGTAAGGAAAGATAAGTTGGTTTGCAGATTGAAGAAATCGCTATACGGTTTGAAACAGTCTCCTCGATAATGGTATAGACGATTCGATGGTTTTATGATTGGTCATTCGTACACTCGGAGCCAGTTTGATCCTTGCGTATATTTTCACAAGTTAAAAGGAGGTGCGTACATCTATTTGTTACTTTATGTCGATGACATGTTGGTTGCTATATTTTCACAAGTTAAAAGGAGGTGCGTACATCTATTTGTTACTTTATGTCGATGACATGTTGGTTGCCTTTATTTCCAGATCGGCTATAGATGAGTTGAAAGTTCAGCTTTCAAATGAGTTTGAGATGAATGACTTGGGTAAGGCCAAATGCATTTTGGGAATGGAGATCGACAGAGATAAGAAGAAGGGCAAAATTTGTTTAACACAGGTGGTTTATTTAAAAAAGGTTCTACAACGATTCCATGTTAGCATGGATACGAAGCCAGTTGGTGTACCTTTGAGAGCCCATTTGAAGCTTTCAGCTGGTCTTTCACCAAAGTCAGTTGAAGATCGAGAGTTGATGTCGAAGACTCCATATACGAGCGCGGTTGGGAGTTTGATGTACATGATGGTATGTACGAGACCAGATTTATCATAGGCGGTGAGCATGATATCGAGATACATGTACGATCCAGGAGTGGGTCATTGGGACGCCGTGAGATGGATTTTGAGGTACATTCGAGGTACGCTCAATGTTGGTTTAGTTTATGAGCGGGACACTACAGATGGACAGTTATGTATTGGTTATGTTGATTCGGATTATGCCGGGGATTTGGATAAACGCTGGTCTACAACGGGGTATGTGTTCATTTTGACCCGTGCGCCGGTGTGTTGGAGATGCACCTTACAGTCGACGGTGGCTTTGTCTACGACGGAGGCAGAGTATATGACAGTTACAGAGGCTGTGAAGGAGGCTATTTGGCTTCGAAGACTTTTGGAGGAACTTGGTATATCGTAGAGGTCCGTCACTATTCATTATGATAGCATGAGTGCTACTATTTCGCGAAGAATCAGGTTTTCCATGTGCGAACGAAGCATATTGATGTTCGTTATCACTTCGTTCGGGATGTTCTTGAAGATGGTGATGTGGAAATTGTGAAAGTCCACACGAAGGCACTTCGTTCGGGATGTTCTTGAAGATGGTGATGTGGAAATTGTGAAAGTCCACACGAAGGATAATCCGACAGATATGCTCACTAAGGTGGTTCCGAGCAACAAGTTTGATCATTGTCGAAACTTGTTGCATATTCGTAATTGTTGAGGCCGTTGACAGCTATTTGGGTGAACTACGTTCGGCTTGATTCATTGGACAAGAGGATACATAGGCAGTCTTTACGATGCAGCCGGTTTGGATTAGTTGATGGGGGTAAGATTGTTTGGACTCTCGTTCGGGTCCTCGACTTGTTATGGATTGAGTTCGTACTGGACACAACAAGTTAGGACATTTGGATGCTTTGGTGTCGGCTCAGTTTTGAAAAAACTTCACCGAGGTGGAGAATTGTGAACTCGTGGGATTAGTGCTCGTGGGATTAGGATTAGTGGGCCACTCCCACGTGAGTACTGCAAGCAGCACAAAGAAAACGCGTGAGTGGGTGAGGTGAACGCATGGGGGCCACGAGTTAGAAGCATAGCCGCGTGAGCACTTTTTTTTTCGTTTCAATCACGAGATGCAGGCCCACCCGATTCCGTAACTATATATTTCTCTTCAGATTGGTTCTAGGGCTGCGTGCAAGCGAAGAAGTTTTTGGGCACGGAACTTTTGTTAGGCGGCTGCAGCAAAGAGGGCAGATGCCAGGAGATTTGTTTTGGCTACGGGGATGCTCTGCGGCAAGAAGAAAAAGTGCAGGCTTTTGTGCATCCTTTTGTAGAGAGATATTATGAGGGATTTGAGAGTTTGTTTGAGGGTTTAGGTTGTGAGTGATTGTAAACCCTAGTTGTATTCTCTCCCTCTAATAGTAGATCTCCCCCCTCCTTGTCCCGTGGATGTAGGCAATTTTTCGAACCACGTAAAATTGGTTGTATCGCTATTTGTGTGATTTGTAATAGCTTTTAGGTTCCCTCGACAGGTCAGTCCTAGAACTAATGAGAGGAAGAGCTGATATCTCACTTGGTTGAGATATTTTGCTTAAGGTTCCTGTTTCCTTTGTGAAACATGATTTCCTATTGCGACCTGACTCTCTTGTTGTGCTGCCGAGGTGCTGCCGAAATTTCCGCTGCGCGCAACAGCAATGAATAGAAGAATAGAATTTATGTAGCTGCCAACAAAATTTTGTGATAGAAGCTTTGTTAGTGTTGTATATTGGCTTCTTTCATTTCCTTCAAACAAACAAAGAAAAGGCGTGCATGCCCCATCAGGGTATCTTGCACATGATCATCCCATTGAATAGTAGAGGTGAAAGGAAGAAATGGATATCTCAAAATACAAGCTCTCAGGTAAACACCAGACCTGTATTTGAGCATAGCAGAGGAAACTTGTCTTGTCCTCACCTTATGAGAAATAAACAAACATCTGAAAAAGGAGAAGCATCAACATGATACATGATCATGCCAATTGCTGATTCAAAATTCGAGTTAAAGCATCCATGCTGTTTCAAAACCTCCCTCAAAGGATAAAGAGGGTAAGACCCACCTAGTTTCAATAACATGCCTTAAGTTCCCACTTCAATTTAAACTTGTTCTGAAATTCAAAGATATATGGAAGAAGCAAAATGACATAATTGTTTATTCTCTTCTTATGTACAGGAAGTCCAATGTTCACCTCACCAACCTTAATTGAGATGTGAGGATGGAGCATTATTGTCAACTAGTTGGCACCAAAGGTGTATCTTGATACTTGGAAGCATGTCATGGAATTGTGGGCAATATAACCAACATCCTATAAAGGACATTGGAAGTACTTATACATGTCGTCACTGTAAAAAAAATATTCTGACAAGTTTGGCTTTGGCAGGAGCATCGTAAATCCAACAAAAGGTACTGGAGTTTGTGAAAGAACACTGGTTTCAGTAAAGTGAAAAATAAAAGTTTTTTTTTTGAAATGTAGGGATAATTTATAAAAGGCACCGATCTTGTCATATGGCATGCAGGTTGAAAGTAGCATGTCATGATCATATTAAGTTAGTTGAACCCTTACCCGCTTCTTCTCAGCCTCAATTCGCTCCTCTTCCATCTGCATTTCTCTGGATAAAAATCAGTATGAGGTTACAGCTAAAAAGAAATATTAGGACGTACATATAGTAAAGTATAAGGCTCCACCATCAAAGGAACACAGGCAGGCGGTGATGATCTTAAATTGCATAGTGTTTTTACTCATCCATATAAATGAGAATTTTTTTTAAGGTAAAGGGATGAAATAACAATACTGAGATAGATGTGTAAGAATGATTGAGCATGTAAGAAGCTTGAGTTTGCTGTTATGAAAAATAACATGGGAGAAAACTATTTGATACGTGCAACAAAGACAATATATCTAAAATTTAGGATAGAGTAAAAAGGATTAGATGATACCTAAGAAAACTTGAATATATGAAAATAAAAAGGACGCATTGTTGTGGTTAGTTTAACTTTAACCAAGGATATGACTCTTTAGAAAAGGATTGGAATATTAGAAAAGTTGGCTGTGCAAGGGAATGGGGTCCTTGTGCATGATTTTCTTTAGCTCCTCAATTGTAACATAGGTGGAATTCCAAAATTCCAAACTCTTCAGCCCCCCATGGTTTCTCATCCTTAGATCAATCAACCGATTACAATCCTATTAAAGATTGGATTGGAATTCAACTGTTTTTCACAAGATGGATGCTTTTTTTTATGGGTGCGTCATTACTTGGTCCGTTTCAACGAGACTCCAAAAAGCATTTTCTTCCTCGCATTATTGTAGGATCAACAGTCGATTCAATTGAATACCTATCATAAGTATGCATGGTATTGAATCAACAGATGAATGGGATTAATTAATAGGGAAAAAAAAACTTCATAATAATAAAGCATTATTTGCACTTTAACAACCCAAATTTTCACCCTTGAGTCCTATTTTGACGTTAATTTGACAATTTCATACTCTAAAGCCCTAACCTTGCTCTCCACTTTCACCAAACCAGTAAAACCGAAATTTGGTAACGATATTGATTCTCATTCACTTTTCTACATTAATATCCTTAAGGGTGTCAACTTTTTTGCACATTGGGGTATCAAATCGTCGAAAAAGAACTTCAGGGTATCTTTTTTTTAATAAAAAGATGAAACTTCAGGGTATTAAAGTGCAAATGAGCCTAAATAACAGTCACTGAAATGACAGAACTAAAGAATTGAAACTGTGGAGGAACGAAGAGAGAATGATACTTGAGCAGGAGAGGAGTAACAATTTGGGCCTTTCCCAAAGGGAGAAGGTAATTGCGAAAGAATCCAGCTTTCACTTCGAGGAGTTCCCCTTTCTTCCCAAGCTCAGACATGTCCTCTTTCAGAATTATCTAAAATTTACCCAGCTCAGATGAATGCAAATGAGAATTACTTGAGTCAGGAACGCGAACAGATTCAGAATTTTTTTTATTGTTTATTTTTTTACCTTGCGGGTTTTCTTGGCTTTCTTCTGAGCTAAAACCCTGCTGATGGGCTGCTGCTGCTGCTGCTGCTGTTGATGCTTGTGTTGTGGGCTTGGAAAAGGGCCGGTGCCGATGCTGCAGCTCCATCTCAATGATGCCTGCAACTGCGACGCCATTGCTCCTCTTGCGACTGCTTTCACAGCTCGGATGATGATATCATCTTATCCTGTATACTTTCTGGGCTTTTTTACTATTGTGTTGGGCTGGTCTGTAGGGGGGCCTCCATCAACCGGATGCATTACTCTTCCATTTTATTTACGGGGTTCTTTTCTCCGCCAATATTGGTCATTTATAAATCTTTAAGGGTTAATTGCGTACAGACCCCGTGTAGCATCACCCAATTGCAAACACACTCTCTATAGTTCTATTTGTTGTGAATGACCCTACGTAGCTCTGGATCTGCTATAGTATTGACCCAAATCGAATACACCTCTTAGAGTCTTAGTGAACTTTTTAGACGCTTTTAGAAGTTTAAAAAAATTTCTCACCAACAGAACAATGGGGCGTCTATCTGCCTCTTCAAACATTTTTAATGATTTTAAGAGTGAAAAAGAAAAAGAAGGAAAAAAAATCACTCAGGGTGTCTATTCGCAATTGGGTGATATTGCATGGGGTTGGTTCGCGATTAAACAACTCTTTCATATTTTGATTTTAGTCCCTAGATTGTTATGTAATCCCTCAAATCTTCTGAGTTATTTTAAATTAGTCGCTCGAGTTAGTTATTGTTTGCTTTGGAGGAAATGTTAGGATGAGGGTGTAGATCAAACCTCATTTCCGATGAGGAGCGCCGGCGAGGAGCTCCGACGAGCTCGATGTTGTCGCAGGCGAGCGTGGATGTCGACTCAGGCGAAGTCGACGGCGATCCCCAAGCGTGGCCTCAGGTGGAGCTCAAGCAGGCAAGCTCGCGTTTGGGGAGGGGGGGTTTCCGACCTCTGCGTTTGGGGCGGTTCGAGCTCTGCGTTCGTGTCGAAGCGACCTCTGCGTTCGTGCGAAGCTGGCGTCGAAGCAACTGTGCGTTCGGCTCGAAGTTGGCGCTGGCGACAGGCTGTCGCCAGCCCTCTCCTCATCCGCCTATAAAAGAAAACCCCAGCCTAGGGTTTTTTTTTGCTGCTGATTTTCTTCCCCCCTCCTCCGACTTTTCTCTCTGGCGGCTGCCCTAAATCGCTGCTGCGATTTTGTGATTTATCCCAGCTTCAACAGTGTTTGAGGGGATTAAAGAAGAGAGAGAAATAGAGAATTAAAGAGGGTTTTAATTGTGGGGTATTTATTCTCAAGTGAGAATTGAAAGGGTTCGTACCCTTTAATTATTAACACTGTAGCTACAGTGTTTATTTGAGAAATCTCGGTTTTGAGATCTGCTCCTAAATTGTAATTTCTTGTTTGATTAATAAGAAACTATCTGTGAGGCTCCCGAGGACGTAGGCAGTTGCCGAACCTCGTTAAAACTTGGTGTACTTTTTCTATACTGCGTTTCTGTTGCATTAGGGGTTTAGGCGTTAAATTCCCAACAGGAAATACTCAGTTTAAGCTAACCTTTTGTCATGAATTTCTATTGTACCTTTTTCTACTTAACTTGCTCTAAATCTCAACTAGTTTTCTTTAACATCCATTTAAACCGCAGACTTAAAACAATCAAACTCATTACTTTCCCTAACCCATTGGCAACTGCTCTCTCCTCTCTTGTAAGTCATCACTAGTAGTCCGGGCCATGTGAGTTGTGCACGATATGATGTACGCTTTTGCATAATTAAAGAAAATTATTAACATCTTAAAACAATCAAACTCATTACTTTCCCTAACCCATTGGCAACTGCTCTCTCCTCTCTTGTAAGTCATCACTAGTAGTCCGGGCCATGTGAGTTGTGCACGATATGATGTACGCTTTTGCATAATTAAAGAAAATTATTAACATC